CCTTGAAGTAATTTCCTGTGTGTTAATTGTCGTCATCCTGTAATAATTCTACTCTCCTGTTTTGATGTATCAGCCAACACACGAATACGCAAATTTAAAAAAAGAGGCAAGAGAACCGAAGAAAGATTACGGGCCAAAGAAATAGCGTCTTGTGGTCATTCTTCAGTAGAACAAAGTGCTGGGCTTGTTGGCTTTCCGGGAACAATGCAATTTGATCGTGCAAAAAGGCAAAGAACAGAAAAAGGGAAGCAGACAACAGACTGGTGCCTCTCCGTTTCTACGTGGGTTCGCTGTGTTCGTAATTTATTGTGCTATCGTTTTCTTAGTGTTCATCATCTTCATTTGTTCTGTTTCATTTATTCCCGTGAGCATGTCTTGACCTATTTGTCTCGGATAACCCCACAAGGCCGTCATCCGTGGCCTCGTCTTGAACACAAGCCTCGTGCCTAAAGATATCCCGTTGCAATCCCCTGTTGCACAACAATGAAAGCTACCCAAAACCCTCCCCCGCCCCCCAAAAAAATAAATGAGAAATAAGCTTTCCGTAAAAGGCTCTTGTGAGCTAATAAAATCTATGTGCGCTGAATAGGTGCAACTAAATCATCTTTACGATCGCTTGGTCAGACCAGTCTCTACATGACAAGCATATACTTCTTGAACCCTGTACGAAAGCTCTTATTTTGATATGATTGTCCCTGTTTTATGCATATGAACTACGTTACTGCAGCTAGACTGGGCAACTTCATTTTATCTGATCCCATGCATTCACTTTTGTAGAAAGCGGTGACCCTACTTCTGATGTAATCGTTCAGAAATGCATTTATTTTAATTACCCTATTTGTAGTATTGTACTAGCTAGATGTTTGACTAGCTGTTTAAGAAATAACTAAATGACTCTAAGCTGCCCCGCTTGGAGACACTTACGTCTGCGTTTCTTAGGTAAATTACTAGTTTGAAAATCTTTATCTCTCATATTTAGCTATCGCTTGCTCTGGTCGAGATCAAAATATGTTGTCTTTTTTTGACCAGTTACTCTTAACAACCTCCCCATTATAGTAGAAGTGTCCTCTGCTGAAATTTTATATTTGTGCCCAAACATTGTAAACATGATTCATTGTTTCTTTGATGCTTCGAGTTGTCTTACTCGATTTCAAACTATTTTTCTACTGTCTTTAGCTATTGTGTGAAAGCTCCACATTTATTTTACACTTCTACACGTCTATATTTTTCCTTCCTATATTAATTTTCTAGCAACATATCTTTTTTCTGGTGCTTCTATAGCATAGGTTGAAGCTTTTTACTGATAATTTGTAGCTTTTATTTTCACTTTCTGTTATCCCCAGACACAGCTGCTCATAGTACTTGATTATAAAGCTTTGCGTCGTTTTACAGACACGCTGTCCACTGTTGTGGCCAAAGCAGTGTTTTGTGGAATTTGATGCCTACAACTACGTTACAATCCCAAATTGTGCCCTAAATTTTTTCTCTTAGTGTGTTGTGCTATATTTCCTATATGTTTTGTGATTCTCTTTGCAGCAGCAATAAAATCCTCGAACAAATTCACAAAAATCAACTGCGTTTGCCCACTCAATATTTTTTTTGAAAATACTTAGCGTGCAATTTCTTTCAGAATACGAACCCAAAATCAAATTGTTCTTTTCCTTATTAAGGTTAATACATATATTATTACTAATAACGCAGGAAACTTCTTCGTCATCAAGTCATGGTACTTACCCGTGCTTAAACCATTTTACAATCAAGTTCGTGTTCCAATATGGCAGCGCATGGTCACGCTTACAAAATTATCTGTTCACGTTAGTATCCCACACACTTCCACCAGATGTCGTGTTTAAAAAAAATGTTTAACGATTTCGAGTACTTCGTACTCTTACTAGGGAAGAGCACTGAGCCGTCCCGTATGCCTCGGACGTTCTTTAGTACGATGTCTTACAACGATTCATTATGAGCCAGCAATGACTTAAACGATCGATGCAACGCTGGCAGAAAATGAAGTTTCATCCAGCGCACAGCAGCAAGAACTCTTCATCATCTTCTTTCTCGCAATACCTATTATTTCGCATGCAGCCTGAGAAGCCTGAAGACATGTTAATTTAGTCCCTGTCTTTCTAGCTCTTAGTCTTCTTTTTTTGCGCCTGCAGGAAACTTTGACCATAACATGTAAGCCCGAAAACTCTTCCAATGCTTGCATGCTACAGAAATTGAGCAAGCCCCCCAACTAAGTGTACTGTTCCACTAGGAGGTGAAGAGGAAACGTAAGAGTGATGAACAACGATTTGTGGCTGCGCGTTCCAGCTTCTTTGAGTAACCCTCTGTACCATGTGTTTGGGTGGTGATTCAGCTTTTGTCGGTTCATAATAATCGTTTCTTAAGGACGACACATGGAAGGCTTCGCCCTTAGCTGCTTTGTTGTGAAAAAAAAAAATGAACGCCCACAACAGTGACATTGTTCTAAACTGATTCGCTTGAACACCACCTAGCCCTGAATGCACAATGGTTTCTATTTATGGAATAAAGCGGTTGCTTCGAGCTGCAGTCGTGTATGGTCGCCAACCCACATAATAGAATAAGTACTTTAAGCAGCTGGTAAAAACGGAAATGGAAGAAAAAAAAAACAAATTACATGAAGACAATGCGCGATAGACACTCATTTACAAAATAGTTCTGACTCTTTTAAGCTTTACATCACTCGAACTCCATATTTAACTTTTTATGAATTTCATTGATATTTCTGCGTTTGCGTGCGGTGCGCGAGAATAGCGTTCTAGAACAGAGACATGATAGACTGTGCACTGCCTTCTTCCCAAATTACACAGCTTACACGCACATTGGATCCAACATATGACCATTGAGGTGCCAAAAAAAATTAACAACGCAGAAGTTGAGGGGAAGATGGGATTGTGAAAATACCAGAAATTATTCAATAAGGAATGCAGCTCCAGTGAAGGTTTAGGCGTCATTACCTGTCTTCATCTTCTCCCTTACGAATTCTATTTTATTAGCTGTTTAAAGGCAAGCAGTCAGAAGTTAAGAAATTCTTCATCAACCCAGTGTTTGCTAAGGCTAGATGGGGCTGAACCGACCAAGACGCGACGCATTGTCAATATATTGGTTGCAATATAGTGTTCATTTACATTGCATCATGCGAAGGCGGCTTATATTAGACAAAGCTAACGTAGCTCGTTAGAAAAAAGCCTTCGATTCCTCATGAAACGTGAAAATTCGTCACGCCATTATGATGTCAGTGTGAGTTCACATAACATTACTCCACGTGATGACGCAAGACACCTTCACTTTGTTATAAGAGGACCGATCATGGAGGGAGAGTAACTTCTTTAGCGGTGGTGGTTACGTTTGCGTATGCTACTTGTGTATGCTATAGTTGTGTCAAGTTTATGTTAAAAGAAGGCAATATATATCACTGCATAAATGAGTTGAAACTTTTAAAAAGTGAACATCTCTTCACTTAACCTCGGAGAACTGCGTTTGACCGTAGCCAGTTAATCTGGTCAAGGCGCTATGGTGTTCGATAGATAGTTTGACGAGGTGCGTTTAAGCACTAACGTCAAAGTATTTGTTTTCTTTTCTCGAATTCAATAAAACCAAAAACTGCTTTCATTTCCAGTCTACGCTTTTATTCTTTCATGTAAAAATAAAACAACGATTAACTACAGAACATTCAAGCATTCAATTACTTGGTAGGTAGAATAAGTAGAATTAACTAGTGAATTGACATGAAATAACATGCTGCTATATTTTCTTTCCTGCAGTGTCATACTGAGTGCCTTGCAATTATGGTATGCAAATTATTGTATGCATCCATCGATTGTACATCATAATCCATGTTTGAAGGGGTTCAAAACACGTTAAGTGCAAAAATTTTTCGAAAAGGGTGTGAGGTAGGATAAATGAACCAGCTTACAAGAATAAAAAAGGTGACTTACGACTTCGCGTCATTTCCGGTTAACGATCGAGGAAACCTGCGGGTTTTTGCACGGCCAGAGTGAAAAGGCGTGGTCGACCTCTTCAGTGGACCTGTTTACCTCCAACCACACCACCGTGTTGTCCCTGCGACTTTGTTCTGTAGTCGTTGCGTTCGCGACAGCGATTAGCGGATGCGCAAAAGTAGACGCGAGCGTGCTCGCTCACGTCCTTCTCAGCAGCAGCAAGCGAAATTGGCTAAACAACGGCGGGGTCGCTGAACCTTTAGCGTTGACCAAGGGCGGTAAGCGCAGAGAAACGCTCTGTCATTGTGGTCAGCCTGGTTGCGAAGGCCGTAAGACGGAATCACTCGCGCGCCTTTTCAGTCCCGCTGTAGTCATAGATGCAAAAAAGCTTATGAACGAGGTATGTACACAATCGCGCCATACCGCCCCTAGTACTCGGAGCACCCACTAGATTTATCTTTAGTAGAGCGCTCGCCTCGCTCCACTTCGGTGCATGCTCTGGTATCCGCATAGTGATTGTTTAGGAAGAAAAACGCACTTGTTTCCATCTCCCAGTTGGGGACACTGCTCAGCGCCACGCTCTGGTATGAGTGGAGACTGCTGGAGGCACTGCACTGTATAAGTAAAGGATTCAATCGTCTCTCTCACACAGTCACAACGCAGTAGTACGAATTGAGACATGAGCATGAGTGCGGTGGAGATTAGGGCTCGCGAAGCGGCTGCAGCTCAGCAGCGCCGGAAACAATCGAAGTAGAGAGCTCGTGAAGCTTAAACGAGACTCTAGCGCCGGCAAGCCGACCCTTGAGGTCCGTAAAGTCAATGGGTCTGTAGACTTTGTAGCTTGAAGTTGATCATGTACAAAACACAACTATGAACGTCTGCGCTGATAAATAAAGAGAACCTCTTTACAAAACACGCAGTCAGCCAATAGCTGATGCGTATACTACTCAGTGTTTCCTTTACGAGGAGAAGTATGCAATTTTTTTGGTGTCATAATCTTTCGATGCACTCATACCATTGTATTTTTTCTAGTGCATGGCGCACCATCATCCAGCGGTGCTGCTGCTGCTACTACTTGCGAAGGTAACGCTGCTGCTTCCCGCCGCTTCTCTCGCTTGGGGAGTGCTGAGCAGCCCCGACGCATTACCCACGAGCACGGCGAGTAGTCTGGGCTTCCTTCTGCCCTGCAACAAGTCCGAATCCCAGGAGAATGTGACCGACGACCGGCCCGAGTTGGCAATCGCTTTCCTCGGCACCTTCAACAACAGCCGCATGCTCGGAAAAATGGTATCTGGTGCGGTGCCCCTGGCCGTATCCCACATCAATAGAGACGACAGGTAAGGAATAGGTGCGCTGCACACTTCGAAAATGTGTACAACATGATGTGGAAGTTCGTCAGATGTTAAAAAAACCAATTGTGGGTCCCTGACTACCAGGAAAAAGTGTGCCTGTCATCGCAGCCATTGATTTGAGTCGTTAGAACGCAGTAATACTTCAGAAATAATGACATAGCAGTCGATAAGCTTACGTTTAGTATGGCTGAAAAAGTTCTGAAAAGAATTTGGGAAAAAAACAGGGAAATATCTGTGATAATCGAATCACTCAGAACTCACGTCATTATTTTTGTGAATGAACTTGCAAGAAATACCCACTGGGAAAGGAACAAAACATAAAAAAAACAGTGTGAACTAGTGTTGCCGAATTGGCGACTCTGTTCTATTCAGATTTCATAACTTGACGCATTCCCATTCCCTTCAATTCATCGGAATAGAAAAATTGCCCATTCCTACTACCCTAATGAGCATACAGTTCAATTCCATTCCTGTAATTTCTCAACGTTCGAAAATCATTTTGATAGTTTTAGGGGCAATATTGCAAGAAAGTGAGGAGGGGTGGTATGAGGTGCGATGATGCGCAAGCTGATATTCGAAAGCATGCAGTGAACAGAAGCATGGCGCCGAAGTCAATATACACATCACAACTTACAGAAGTGCTTTTTAGAGTATTTGCCCGAATCGGTGACGGCGACTGAAATAGAAGGCAGCAGAGGGGACAGAATATCGCAAGTTTTAATGGAAGAAGGGCGTATGTATGCCACCACCATGGATCTGCAAGACATATGCCAATCGCATAAGAACCGCAGTTACGTGGAGAATAGAGCTAAACTGCGGAACAAAACAGCCTATAATTACAAATTTATGTATTTTCGTATATAAAGTTATGAGGAGGTAATTGTAACAGGCGTGTTGCGTATACATGTACCATGCTTGTAATCAGCCAAGCCATTTTAAAATTACTGCTTCATTGGTGTATTTAAGCATAAGAGTTGCTAATGTTTGAAGTTTGAAAAAAAAACAGCATGTAGACGAAGCTACGCTTGGTTTTCAGAAAAAAGACATAATTCCGTTCGCAATCTATACCCTTCAAAAGACACAAAATTTGATTCTAATTCGATTTCGCCAAGCCTTGTCCCCATTTTGTTCGCACTTGATACTGAGGTTGAATAAATTCCGGAATCATTCGAATTTCGGCGTGGAAACTTCGCAACACCAGTACGAACTGTTGATATAACATTAATATAATTTCTTTTTGGCAGACGTGAAAGGTTACTTCATAACTTGGTGCCACTCTCGATGAGCCGCCTATAGGCAGTCATGAGAGTTTTCATGCTTGTCGTGGTGAATGCTTTAATTTCGGTACTAAATAAACTGTCACTATTATTCGGTCTAAGTGTAGACTCATCATGATCTCATTACACAACTGTTAATCTTTAAGGAATACCGCTATATTTTATGTCACCAATAAATTTTTTTCAATTCAACTCTTATATGAGTTCACTCAGTTCAGATCGTAATAAAGATGTAAGTGTCTAGATGGGCACCCTTGTGCTTCTCTTGCTTCGCAATTTACTGTCGTATAACCATGCGCCATATGCTGGCCTACGGTAACAGCTTGAGCAAATTTCATGTCACTCTCAAAAAATCGTAATATGGAACACTTCGCCTGAACTACTGAGTAGTAAAATAAACCGGAAAGTGAACCAAGTTTGATGTCCTTAGCACGCCCTGTATTAGGGGCTCAATTCAGAAAACTTTTATAAGTGCATCCACCCATTGGTCAGCTACCTCGCCGTAGTGAGCCGGTCTCTTGGATGATTGAAACATTGTCTTCCTAGAATTTTTCGGCGCACTACATTTCTGTTAGTTCGAGCTTTCGTTACGAAGCGCGAAGAAAATAGCACTATTACGTCCAGGAGCACACGACCTCTGGGGGATCATAAGTAGTCACGTTTAACGTCCCTAAACCACAATGCGATCACGGAGACGCCATGTTGGATTGCTCCGGAAGTTCGGCTGCTTGAGATTCTTTAACGTGTACCTATTCTAAGTACAAGAGGCTTTAGCATTCTGACCTCCACAAAAAATTGTGCCCGCCAAGGCTACAGGATTTGATTCCGTGACGTGCGGGTAAGCAGTCAACCACCACGACTACCACCGCAGCGGGTGTATAAGACCTCCATCGAGAAGCTGGCTGTGCTATGAGCACGTCCGAAATTCGAAACTACCATATATATATTGCGTTTCTCTAACAATGGTACAGGATACCATATTTCAGAGACGACACAAAACAGCTTTTTCTATATTTTTTCACTCTACCCTGCAGTGTCAACAGGGCGAACACAGTGAATGCAGTTGTGTAGGCCTTGCCTCATGGCTCGTGGCAGGCATTTTGTTGCAGGTGATGTTGTGTGCTACCTATATCCATAAAAATTGTGACTTACCTACCTACCTGCATCTATCATTAATACCTCGGGTTTTACATCCTCGAACCAAGAAATGTTTATGAAGAATGCCATAGTCGATGGCATCAGAAGTTTCAAGCATCTGATGATGCATCTAATGATGCATCTGATATGCATTGACATCGGTCATACAAGCTCTCAACTCCATTTTAATTGACGCCATTGGGTCATTTATGTATTATATAGCGCCGCATTGCTATTATTCGAAACGTCACTTAGTACGGACTAGAAAGCTACAAGGTTTAAAGCGGCGTTGAGGTGACGTTCACTGAATGTGCAACATGCGCTGTCAATATATACATATATATTTCTCACAAACCGCTATTGCTTAGCAGGTAAGATGTTAACGCTGCTGTGCACAAGGCCGCGGGTTTGATTCCCGGCCACGGCGGCTTCATTTCCATGAGGCGAGATATAGGAAACACTCTTGAACTTCAAGTCCGTTCTACTATAAATAATGTCAGGTGGCTCGAATGAATGTGTCATCCCGCAAAATAGTTTGGCTCGTAAGCATATTGTGGTTTTTGCAGGTGAAGTGTCATCAGTTATTACTAGAGAGTATAATTTGAAGTTACGAGTGAAGTACCTTCGGATTTACCTAACTAGGGAGCATGAATTATTCCAGGTAAATTCATTTTTTTGCGCACAGCTAGGTACTTCGATGTCTCAGGTTGTAATTCACCAAAAGCCGATTTTATGAAAATTTAGTTTCAGAATCATATAAACAGAATAGTCAAATAAACACGAATAACACGAATATAAACAGAATAGTCAAATAAACACGAATAACATAACACTCTTATGCAGGTGAGAGTCCCACAGTATCAGTACCACAAACGCGACCCTCAGTTACAACACAAGTGAATCATGGTGTCATCCATGGGCAGATTAGGAGCACTTCCATTAATGCTCTCTACTACTTCACGCGGAGCAAGTGTATTGCAAGGGCGTGTTGAGAGTGCTCCCTGTGTGTTCCATAGGCAGATCTGGAGCAGCTCCGTCGCGAGATCCACTCCACGGAGCAACTTTTTCTACTCCGCGAAAATCGGCAGATTCGACCGGAAGTCGCAAGCACCCCGCGACTTCAAACGTTGCCAACATTGGGCGCACCAACAGATGCTGGTTGCGTCAGGTGCGCCTCGTGTCGGAGCTCATGTTTCGCTAGAGTAGGGTCGCTATGCCAAGCGTGCCCAGTCGAGCAAGAAGAGAGACGCGCACATCGCGTTTCATTATGACCCTTCCATTTGCTTCACAGGGAGGACGTGTGTTTCATCGATAGATTTCCTTCTGTTGCCCTCCACCAGAGTGGAGTGCTCCTGCGCAGAGTCGCGGGTCAATATGAATGCACCATTGGATGACGCCATTAGACAGAATTGGCAGAAGAATAGCAGATGGTAATAATAGCCATATAAAAGGCAAAACGAGCAGCAACAATCAAGAACATTCAAGATACAAAATGAATTACTAGCAGCACGATAAAAAACATGCGAAATCAAATTTACAAAGGCACACAAAAAGTTATTGTAGACAGAAAAAGCACACAAAAAGTTATTGTAGCATGCCTCAGTGAAGTGCTTCAGAGTTTTCGCCCACTTGAATTTGTTTGATCAGCGCCTAAGTAGAAGTACAGGCGCTCCTGGCATTCTGCCTCCATTGGTACGCCACTGCCACAGCCGGGATCGAACCGGTGTTTTTCGGGTGGGCAGTTCAGCAACGTAACTGTTGTGCGACCGCTGTGGCTATCTGGTTTTTCTTTTTCGTTCACATTGTGTTATTCCATGTATATTGGGATACAATTGAACACAAAGGCCCATTTTCTGCAAATGCAGCTTGCTTCCGGGGTATCGCGTGACCTTTCGACCGGAAAATGTGGGCCAAGTGGGCACATCATCGGCCATCCGCAAGATGACGGCCCTGTGGCAGAGCGGCGTCGTGGCCTTCATTGGACCGGACGAGAACTGCTATGCCGAGGCACTAGTCGCTGACGCCTGGAACCTGCCCATGATCACATACGTGAGTGGACAACAGTCTGCACGTGTTCACCGAATGCACACAGTACAGCTGTACTTGTTGAAACGTAATAAGCGGTTTTAGCTGTTATAATGTTATGTGGACTCAAGAAAGCGCGAGAAAATGTGAGAAACAGGATAGAACAGCGGCGAATTCGAAAGATGGCACCATATAAAAAGTCTAATAAGTACAAAGTATAAAACCCAGAATCACTAAGGAGGGATAGAAATAAAATAAAAGAATTACGAGCCGTTGAAAAACATTTAGCTGTTGGAAAAAGAAACGTCTTCAATCCAGCAGGACGTATTCAGTTTTAAATCCCGTTGGCACTATTCTAGACGTTGGTGCAGATAAACGAGATCAAATGAAGTGCGGGAATTTGAAGATAAAAATATGACCGAGAACTTCATGCGGGACCACCATTTCAGGCATAAGTGTGCTTGGGGTTACCCATGAAAGGGGACAATATCTCATAGTAGCGCCCTTTCCGCTTATGCGTTCATTGAATCCCGAACACGTGCTTTACAATGGAAGAAAATATGAATAGGAAGCGATGACTAGCTCCCTACAATTGACTTTCATAGCCTCAAGGGTATAAAGATATGGAGCGAAGAGTTCTTGGAAGTCAACATGAAGAACTTTTGCCCGCTTTGTCGTGAAAAACCTGCATGGACATGAGCTTTTTCTTTAAATTTCTCACCATACATCACTTAATAATCACCTCATACTACGATCGATTTAAAACCGTGTTGATAATGGTAAAAACGTAGGAGTCGCATCATCACCCACTGAGTCTTTCTTTCAATCATTTATTCCCCGTTCATCTCGGGTTTGAAACTACCTTCCCTGAAGTGTCGCCACCATCAGTGACTGCAAACTTTTCCACGAAATGTTACCTATCATGGTATAACCGCAAATATCTGTTACCTGTACTCATTACTTCTGCTTATTCTATTTGGTTTTATTATATTAACCAATAATTTTTATAATGTGAGAAAATGTTGGGTTAACTGTACTGTTTTAGTTGTATACTTTCGGTATTTATACACTCCACTCTTGAATGCCATTTTATTGTGAAAGCACTCTAAATATTAATAATAATAATAATAATAATAGTATTATTAACATTAGTATTATATATATATATATATATATATATATATATATATATATATATATATATATATATATATATATATATATATATATATATATATATATATATTTATATATATATATAATATACAAAGGCGGAGCAGGTTCGACTGACTAACGATATAGGGCAGGCTTTTCACCACCTCCTGCTTTAGGTGATTAATTTGGGGGGGGGGGGGGGCACAGCCTCTGTGCACTCGTCACTTCGATTTTCTAGCATGGTGACGTCGCGCGTCAGCCCGGCGACACCAAGAAACAGCACCGCAGGGAGCCTGTCTTTCACCCGCCATCATAGGCCGGAGAGGCCTGAAGTTTGTCGTCGTCGAACGTCCTTCCTTTGTAAAAGGTGTCGCGAAGCATTCTGGTAGATAGGCACTAATGGGAACCTCATCAGAAGAAACTTGTCCGCGAGGACTTCTGATATTGACGGTGGCGGTGGGCGGTCGTTGCCTTCGCACAGGGCGCACTCGCTGCCAGTTCGTGAAGAAATTCGCGCTCAAAGCAGCATTAATGAGCTTTCCTTGCCTCAAATGAAGTCCTGCTGCGCTTTCGTTTATTTGCCTTCTAGGTGTATATAATTGTCACGTTGGCAAATTACGTTCCTAATGATGCTTGGCAACCTAAAGCATGAAACCTGCCGTGGCTCGTCTTTTCTCTCTCATCATCTACATTGTGCCAGCAAATCTAATCACCCCTGCCTAACCTGTCTCGCTCGCGGAGCTGTGTACATATATACTTTGTAAAAAGTGCGTCGCAGGGGGCAAAATTGTTCCCTTAACGTTCATACGACGTACGTTGGCATATGACGTACATTGGATCGAAGACTGAAAATCTAGTACGGACTTTGCCTAAAAGTGCGTTAATGCTTAATGATTAACTGAAAACTAATTTTTTGGTTCTTATAAACGCTGCCTGTTCTCAAAGTTTTAAGTCGACGGCCATGGTGGAGGTCGCAGTGGACAGGCCACTTCATTGTTACAAAATGTGTTCTGCGCACGCTCACGTGTTTTAGAACGGTACACGAAACAGGAGCGTCCGTTATGCGCTGCAGAGTACATCAATAAATGCTATGCGTTAAAGTATGTGCTGCGTATAGAACTTGGAGAGAAATGCTGGCTTGTGAACGTTCTCACGCACAGTGGGTTCTCTTTTCAGCAAGCTTGTAAATATTTCTGGATGTAACTGGATATAGGGGAAATGTCAATTCGGCATATTTGACCATAGCCTTGTATTGATCAAGAATCAGTGTGGATAATGTGCTTGGTTTTGTCTATACGCATGCGCATGTAAGAAAAGTTGTCGAGAATGGGTAAGAGAATTGACAGAATCACCGGTTCCGAACCTGTTTTACTTTGAAAAAGCAGTAGGAGCGGGAGATATTGTATAGTTAGTGTAAGAGGATCTTTGGATCCTTCTAAATTTTCCTTTTTTCGGAATATTGTGTTTAGAAAATACATCCTGTATTTGTAATCCAGAATAGGGAATCGGTTGAGGATATGTTTCGTGATGCAACGGCATCGTTACGGTAGGTATGGGGTCTCACCAAAGAAGGTCTAATGAATGTATGGATTGGTTAAACCTGGATAGTATACAGAGTCGCACGCTTTCACGAGTAGAAAGTTAAGGTTGAAAAAAAACTGGAAAATCTCAGGGAAGGGTGGGGGTCACCCGTACTCAAACCATCTCCCAAGGAAGACAACGGAGCCGTAAGATAATATGAAAAATGAAAATACACGGTCATACCTAAAGTAACAATCAGAATAGACTAAAACTTGACAGCATTGATATAGCTATTTATCTTGCAGAGAATATAACATAGTCTTATATTTGTGATGAAGCCAGCAATAACGGTGGTCAGGATGATAATATTTTGTGTGCACAAAGTTTGGTTTTGTAACTGCTGTGGAACGAATACGCCATTGATGTCGTACTGCAGCTAGCCTTGTTCATAAAGTGTGGATTTTAACGTCGTCCCGCAAAATTGTTTTAAAGTCAACACATTTGAAAGAGCTTTCTATGCGCAGCTTTTTTTTTCTCGTTTTGTCATTTAGCCAGAAAAATCTGCTGACCATTTCAGTTGCAGTAGGTGCCGTGTGCGCTAAAACACACATACACAATGCTATCGTAAAGGTACGCTCCGGAGTTGTCGTATAATTGTTCCCTTGTCTAAAAAAAATTTTCTAAATATGCCGCGTCTTTGTACCAAGGGAATATTCTATGATATATTCGGGACATTTATTCAGTGACAACTGAAGAGGTGAGTTTATTGCTATGTGGAACTACTTCTGCTTAAAATAATCATATATATGAAGTCAGAGTTTCACCTCAAAGGCGAATGAATGAAATCGACAGCAACCAATTGAATATACGAAGCAAGGCTGGTAGCTAACTCTTTAGCATTGGGTGTTTCGTATACCTGTACAAAATTTTTCCACAGCTTTTTCCACAATTTTTCCAGGTGCTATTTTTCCACAGCTTCATGGCATTTAGAACACAGCACGAATTGATGGACATACCAGGCTCCGCTCAGTTGCCTGCCGAGATAGCGCGCGTGCCAGGGATTGCGACTGCGCTCTTCGAATCAAAGTTCACAGTTGCTACTCGAACCAACACCCCCCCCCCCCCCCTGATAATAAGGCCTTTCCGATGGCTGCGTCACGTAACCCAGTGTGTTCGCACGGGTGCTACATTTCAGTATTCCGGTGCGTCGCGCTCGCTTCTGCTGGTGCTATAATAGTCTGTTATATGTGCAGAATAATATGTCATGTCTTCGAGAAGCTTTCTATGGAATAAGTGAAAAGTTGTGCATCTACTTTTACTGTCTTAAGAAGAAACCATATCGCACTTGATAAGCTTTAAACCAATCTGCGCAAAAAAAAGGTGGATGTTATAAACGCGTTATACATAACACAGACTACGCGTAGATATAACCTGCGAATTCCTTCATAATTATTTAATTTTGGTGTACTCACGAAGTGAAAAAAAAAGAAAAGAATTAGCCAAAGTCATACGCGTGAAACCACTTTCGGAGGCGGGTTTCTACACCTGTAAGGAAAGAAAAAAAAAGCATTTTTTTGTGCCTGACTACTTTTGTGTGATTTTTTGCATCGGAGCAAGAGGATGTCTGTTTCATTGTAAACAATAACTCGCTACAGAAACGCTCGGCATCGGAAGATGGTTGCACACATTAGCGTGTAGAGAACAAAACACCGAGAGTAGACAAGGCGCAGTTTGTGGCAGCAAGAGCAAAATAAAAATTGTTTTTACTACTCAGTGAGCAAGATGTCCTTTTTTTGCACTGCCCATTTACTAATGCACCCCGCTGCTTAGTGTGTATTCACGAGAAACGCATGCTTCTTTATGGTTGAAGTATTCTCATTACTATGGTGTTGAAGTATTCTCATTGCGTACGAAAAACATTGCCTTTCAACAGTTAGCCCCATTGCAGCTACGAACGACGATTCACACGCTCGAAAAAGCAAGGTTACTATACTTTACCTTCGAATGCACTGTTGGCATGAAATCTTTGCATGGGATAGCTCGGAGCCACGCTTTTTTTGCGTGTTGGACAGAAAAAAAGCCTGGCTGTCGAACACTTCACGTGACGTAGCACCAGGAGAAAGGAGGATGTCAAGAGGCTTGAAGATATATAGGAGAGCATCGCTCGAATTCCCCTCCCCTCCCGGTGTCGTTTTGCACGCCAGTTCGAAGATGAGTAGGGTATTTATTCAGTGTTTGAGCTTTTGACTGCACATATAAGAACGTGGGATAATGTTATCGCAGCACTCTTGGAGTGACGGAGATGGGCTGGTTTATTAAATGCCTGCTTCAACCTCATTTTATCGTCTCCGCTGAAGTGCTCTATCTCACAAGTATATATAACATACGAAGGGTGAGAGATGCACCAATTAGGACTTCGTACAAAACATGAAGGTGATGGCGATAGAATCCAAAACTGCGAAAAGCCATCTGAAGTGTCGACACAATTTCTGTCACAATAAAAACTTGACACAGGTTGATTCTGAGACGTAATACCAGATAAGTTGTTTAATTAGCTAAATGAGTGAGTGCTGATCGAGTAAGAGCAACTACGGCTGCACTGAACCAGACACAATATGTTACGTAAGCTACGTTATTCTAAACAAAATGTATAAAACTTGTCTTTCCGGGAAAGATCTAAACGCATCAGAGAATCCTACGAGTGGGTTGTCTCCCATAATCAGACTGGGGTGGGTAGGTGCACAAAGTTCGTACAATTCACGGAAACACTTTTATTTTTCTTTCTGTTACGATCATATCTGGTAAATCAATTTAGTTTCCTATAAAAGGTGGATTAGGAGAAAGCTGAACCTTAGTGTTGTATCTGCTCAAATATGTACGATTAGCTTTTGTTCTTGCTGGAATGGGTTTCCAGACTGGTCCTTTGTTTTTGTTCTTTTTGTGTGTGATCGGTATAACGCAACGCTACTCAGAATTTACGCGGAATCGTTCTAATGATGCCAGCAGATTAAGTAGGTAGCTTACTCGTGCCTGTCGAAGCATGAATAAGGTGGTTCGAAACGAACAGGCTTCCCAGGACAAGGAAGCTTCTTTATTTATTTTTACCGCTTTACCAAGCGGTGCGGATTAACAAATCTGCTTCTAATGAGGATGTTATTTTTTTTTCGCAGCGCTGCTCCGATTTGCGAGTGTCCGGCCGGTCGTTCGGAACGTTCGCCCGAACTCTGCCACCTCTGTCCAAGGTCTCCAAGTCGGTCATATCTTTGCTACGTCACTATCGCTGGGATCAGGTAAGGAGTTTGTTCAATGTACACAGTCAGCCTCTCAAACATGCGGCTCATAGACACTTCGTCAGCAGCGCACGCGTCGTGCACAAAATTCTTCTTGCCATAATTTTTTGTGATTTGCAGATCGTTAGCGACATTACTAGATTCTGATTGCTGCATTCTCTCTTCTATCATTAATAATACCTCCTTGTTAGTACAACATACAGAGGTGCGACTAGTCTGAAGCATTTATTTCTTATAGGGCAGCTTCTGCAGTCACATTGTGAGGAATACAACCATGAAATAAGCAGTCTATACATCACGATCGGCATCTTGGACAGAGTCACTGTGGATTTTCTACAGTTAATTTGTTCATTCAAAACGAGCTGACGCCACATCACCGTGGCCATCACCTAACTACGGCCACCCTTGTGCCATGGCCTTCTGCTGACGGTTCAACGTCCACGTCGCGTCGTCCGCTCGGCATTCTGAAAGCGTCTGCGCGAAGCAGTCGCTATAGGCACGCCTATAGCTATAGCCGAGTGAAGCAGACGGACGTGCCGGAAAAGCCAACATATCTATAGGTGCTGTCTCCTTTCCCCTCAAGTTTATCAAGCCATCGTTCAGTGCTGTGTGACCAGTAAGTTTCAAACGCATGAATTTATTTCCTTTATATTTACGTCCTGAAGCTTCGAGAGCAATGTATTCGCTGGTATTTTGCAGTGTTTTCAAGATGCATTCCCAATTTATTGGAGATCATGCTAAGCAAGCATTCCTAAATAAACATAAATAATTTCCATAATAAAAACTGCCACCTGATGCTTTCGCCCCAGCGCGAGAAGACGCAAAGCGGTAGCTATTCTCCCTTGTATTTATTGCTGGGACGTCAGTGGGCCTGTTGCAAGCGCGGTTCGGAAAGAAGTGGGCAGTCGCGTCTGCATGGGTGCTGCCATGTTGGCTTCTAACCTCAGTTACGGTCACAGCCACTCAGCTGGCCCAATGCGTTGGCTGGGGAAACTGGCGGGGGGAAGGCCAGTTACGGTCACGTGATCAAACATAGTGGCGCCCCTACGCCACTGCGAAAAATTGTCTATAGTTATAAGTTTATCGAAGGCCGATGCCTAAGCTCGCTCAGAAATGACTCTTATATGAGATATGGAAAAGGCCATCTTTCAAATGGCAATGCTCGCTGACGCTTTGATTTCACAACCCTCTTTCATTTGTTTCATTTTCATTTCCCTTGCTTCATTATTATTAGTACTGAGGACGAAGCCGAATGATTTGCAATATGCAACGTTGCAATGAGTGTACTAGCAGAACCAATAGCACAGCTCAACGAAACATTTGCACATTTCTTTCTAAGACGAACATTAACAGCAAAAAGTTCAACAGAATCGAAAGTTGGGCTAGTTGGATATGCATGAAAAACGTTTTTTTCATTCTAACAATCAATTAACTCTTGATTTCATGGATGCTTTTCACATAAAAAAAAGAAGAGAACAGTGCATCAGTCAACTTTTGGCAAGATAGAGAGTCTGCTTTTATTATTATGTTTGTAGTTATTTTTTCTCTTTTTTTAATTCAGTGTTCTCAAGTTGTCATGGTTGTACTTTTACATTCACACGCATGCATAGATATGGATTGTGTGTGTATATGTTCTTCTATTTTCAATAAATATTTTAGTTGCGACAAAGCGGCTGTCCTGTGCTCCTTTGTCTTTTCATGCGCTTGCACTCCAGTTATACCAAAAAGTTCAGTTTTAGTGCCCTATAGCAATGAAACGACACGTGCACTTTTTTTAGCTGAAGAGGTGCCGCTGAACACGTGATGGCATAGGAATGCTTTCAGCCTGCTTATCAGTCTTGTTAACTCCTCTGCTATGATGGAAGACAGTGCTGCTTGCGATCATTGCAGCAGCGATGAAACGATAGAGCACGTTCTCTGCAACTGCCCTCGTTACAGCGTTGATTGATTGATTGATTGATTTGTGGGGTTTAACGTCCCAAAACCACCATATGATTATGAGAGACGCCGTAGTGGAGGGCTCCGGAAATTTTGACCACCTCTCGTTACAGCGTGCAAAGACGCAGCTCGCCTTGACGAGAGACCCTTGTCAGAACAATCAGTTCTTGAAAGGCGACATAATCTGTCTTCGTACAGAAAATCAGTGGAGGCCTTATTGAATTTTGTGCGTGGTAGTGGCCTATTGAATAGGTTATAGCTCCCCAGCTAGCTTTTTTTTTCTTTCGCACGTCTATTTCGCTCTTTGCTTTCGTTCCCATCTTTACTCCCCATTCTCCCTTCTCTTAGTGCAGGATAGCAAATCAGACGCTCAAATTTCTGGTTAACTTCCCTGCCTTTCCCTCATTTCATTCTCTCTCACTCTCCTCTGTGTTTTGCATGTGGTTTTGTTGGACATATAGCACGCTACTGCCGCCGTCGCGACTTCCAGTCTCCGGACCGTGGGAATTCTGTTGATTACCAGGCTGCCCAGAATCCCCAGCGACTGTCTTCCCCATGGCCGACTCGTTGTCCCCACGATGCCCTCTCGAAACTCACCAGTCGTTGCCACTCCATCGCCGATCTGTCTCCCCGATGTCGCCCCGCGAGCGGAAAACTGACAGCCGCAGTTCCCGAGGGAAGAACTGCGTCGTCGTCGAACTCTCCAAGACCTCCTCTTTGTCCGCCCAACGAAATTGATGTGCCAGTAGAAGGTGTCGCTGTACTTGCACTTGTTGACACAGGCGCCATTGTTATTTGTAATTAGTGAAAAACTGTGTCGCAATTTGACAAAAGTTACTACGCCGCTTACGAATCTTGCACTGTGTACAGCCACCTTCCAATTCGTTGCGCCGATGGCTCAGTGCACAGCACGTGTTCTTATTCGAGATGTTTGGTACGCCGTCAAGTTCGTTATTTTTCCACGTTCATTTCACGACAACATACTAGGATGGGATTTCCTTGCAACCCATCAGGCCCTCTTTGACTGCGCTCGTGCTGAACTCATGTTGACGAATCCGTACCTTGATATCGATCACCACAGTACCTCAAAAGTATTTTCCGTAGATGATGTCCACATCGCGCCTTTGTCCACCATCCTAGTGCCTGTTTTCCTGTGCTGCCACTATCGCGACGCTTCTGTTCCAACCATATATAGCTAGTGCGCACGACCGAACAATCATCCTCCCGTTTGCTGTCATCAACTTTTCCAATGGTTCAGTGGCACTTTATGCGTGCAATGTCTCTGCTTGTCCATACATCCTGCTACGCGGCGAATGTCTGGGGAGCATGGAGCCCTCATATTGTATTTTCGAAAATACGATGTATGCAGAGAAGCCATTTCTACCGACTTCTGCCATTACACCAGCAACTGACGCCAATGGCGCTATGAGTGTGTTCCACAAGTCCATTGATTGCCACCTCACGCCTGGGCAGCAGGAACGGCTGATCAAGCTTCTCCAGCGTTTTCGAGCCTTCTTTGACCACAATCAGCCTCCCTTAGGTTGAGTGTCATCTGTTGTTCACTGTATAGATACCGGTCAAAAGACACCACTACGACAGCGTCCATATCGTGTGTCAACTGCCGAACGCCGCGTCATCAACAAACAGGTCGACGATATGATGAATCGTGGCATAATCTAACCATCAATCAATCCCTGGGCCTCTACAGTTGTGCTGGTGAAGAAGAAGGACGGTTCCATCTGGTTCTGCGTGTGCTACCGACGTCTCAACCGAATCACAAGCACGGATGTCTATCCGCTGCCACGCAGTGACGATGTCTTGGACTTCATACAAAAAGCCGAATTTTCCGCTTCTTTTGATCTGCGCTCTGGATACAGGAGGGTACCAATGGCAGAGGCCGATCGTGAAAAAACAGCTTTCATCACGCCTGACGGGCTGTACGAATTCATAGTCATGCCCTTCAGCCTCTGCAACGCGCCAGCAAGTTGCAAGCGAATGATAGACGCTATCCTTCGAAGCCTCCAATGGAACGTTTGCATTTGTTATTTAGATGAAATTGTCGTCTTTTCAACTGATTTCACATCCCATTTATTCCGCCTCGAGAAAGTCCTCGCTTGTCTCTCCGCGGCGGGGCTGCAACTGAATCTGAAGAAGTGCCATTTCGCCGCTCGAAAGCTTACGATCCTTGGCCACGTGGTTTTGAAGGACGGCCTTCTTCCTGACCCTGCCAAACTTACAGCTGTTTCAGCGTTTCCAAAACCGACCACCATGAAACAGCTCCGAAGCTTCATAGGCCTTTGCTCCTTCTTCCAGCGCTTCGACCGCAATTTCGTGACGTTCATCACTCCTTTGACGAAGCTCCTCGCCGGCTCCAGCGACCTTTCGGCCTGGTCTGCCACCTGCAACAATTTTTTAAATAAACTGCCCCGCCTCCTCACGTCGCCGCCTATTCTCTGACACTACGACCCATCGGCACCGACAGAGATCCACATGGATGCTAGTGGTGTCGGGATAGGCGCTATTCGTGCGTACCAAAAACATGGCTTCCAAGAATACGTGGTTGCCTACGCAAGCCAAACTCTTCGCAAAGCCGTAACTATCTATTCCGTCTCTGAAAAGGAATGTCTCGCCATTATTTAGGCGACAGAGAAATTTTGAACTTACCTGTACGAACGCCCTTTTGGCATCGTGACTGACCACCACGCCCTCTGCTGGTTGCAGTCACTGAAGGATCCAAGTGGTCGCCTCGCCTAATGGGCGCTACGCCTTCAAGAATATGGTATTCACGTGGTCTACCGCTTCGGCCGGAAACATTCGGACGCAAACGCCCTCTCCCGTTCGCCCCTACCCCCTGGCCCTGCCTGCTGCAAAAGTCTCATCTATGAACCCACTGCCATTACCATCGCCGACATGCCATCTGAGCAACGCAAGGACTCTTGAGTTGCTTCGATTCTAGACATCCTGGCTGGGCGGACGGCTTCCCCCCCTTCTCGCACGTTGGGTCGGCAAGTCGAGCACTTCATCGCTCGCGACGATGTGCTGTATCGACGCAACTACGCACACGGTGGACATCAGTGGCTACACATGACTCGACGTCATATGCGATCCGAAATTTCCTCCACGTTTCATGACGACCTCCCATTGTGGCCACGCAGGTTTCCTGAAGACTTATTCTCGCATACGGCTCCGATATGACTGGCGTGGCGTGTACTGTTTTATTCGATAGTACGTTCGGGCTTGCTCGACGTGCCAGAGACGAAAGACTCCTCCTCATCACGTCAGCGGTACCTTAAGTATTACTTTTACCATGCTCCTCCCGACCGTTCGGCCGTGTCGGCATTGATATCTATGGTCCCCGTCCCAACACTGCAGACGGTAACCACTGGATCATAGTTGCCGTCGACCACCTCACGCGGTATGCCGAAACTTCATCCCTTGCTTCGTCTATACAGCAAAAGACGTTGCGACGTTCGTTCTTCACAACATAGTATTACGTAATGGAGCACATCGAGAGTTACTGAATGATCGGCTTCGGCTATCTATGCACATCTCGTCATATATATATATATATATATATATATATATGACGGGAGAGAGTAAGACGCATGCTTGATGCGTTTCAATACTACGCATGTCTGCAAGTACACGTCAGACAGCGGAAACCTAATCAACCTTATGCAACTCTCGATAGAATTTGTCTAATTGACAGCTAGATTTCACGTGAAAGCGACATAATTATTCTTTTTCGTGCTTGCTGACCTAACCAGCGTCTAGAGAAAGTGTGAGCATCATTTCAGTCGCGTAGCATGTAATTCCTTCAATATTGTAGTCCTCACCATATTTTAACATGTACGCAAGCACTGAAGAAATACTACAAGCACACATAAACATGCGCGCACACATGCATGCACACTTTGGGAGTTACTCATATTTTGGTAAGAAACAAGGTGGCGTGATTAAAAATGAAGACACATGTACGACATGACATAATTTAATTGTATTTGCCACTAAAGAACGCGTAATGGATTGATTTACCTTCATTCCTTCATCGCCTTCAAATATACACAGTGACCTTTAAAACCGCTAATCAATGACTGCATAATGTGCATACGTTACTTTGACCAAAATGTGTCAATAATATTGGTTTATGCGCGTTCTGTTTCGAAAGGCCTCTATTCAGTGATTATTCGTGTAGGCCAGCATCATGATAGCTGCGCGATGTCTGTGTGTGAACACTCAGTTCTTTTCATATAATAATTTTTGGACATTATGGCTACTATTACTTGGCGAGTATTCGGCCCTGAGAGAACCGTAAGAACCTAATAAAAGTATTTGCTGGCATAATTCTTCTTTGTTGTGCGCTATTATCACTAAAATGGCGTGAGAAAATATATACCCATGAAACGTTTACGTGCGAAATTGCATTGTCTTCAAACAGCTGAGAATAGGCTGCTGTCACTGACAGGAATGTACCTCGCGACACAAATCAGCGAAATTTTTTACAGTACACGCACTTGTGAGAAACATACGCAGGCTTCGACAGTTGAACATAGCATCAAAGCGCTGGTATCCGCGAATTTCAGTGAGCAAAACACCCACGGCTCACGGTGAGGCACTAATACGACGCACGAACACACGTTAGTCGTACTTGCGGAACGGCGCACCACGAACTGAAGTTGGAGCCAAGTTCATGAAGCCCTACAAACTATTCGCTGATCAAATGCATGCGCAAAACAATGCATAAGGCACAGAAAAGCTAAAGGTTCCGCCGACGGTTTGCAATAAGCGAATTGGTAGATGTATACCCGTAGAAAAACATGCCTTCATGCGGTGGCGCTGTGGTGCAGTAGATAAGAGATATGGTTCCCGTGCATTAGGCCCCAAGTTCAATTCCAGTGCTGAGTGTGGTTTGCATGTTAATCTCGTAATTGTAAATTATTTTGATACAAATGCATTTCTAATTACCTAGAGCCATAGGATTCATCGCATTATCGGCGAGAAACTGCCCTCGATTGCGTAAAATAATGCTTTTTTACGCAACCGCGTCAGGTTCAGGCCGCCTACGGAAATGTCTGGCGTAACTGCAGGCCGTACCTAGCCAGGAAAATTTTGACTTAAAATCCCGGCTAATCCTTGTCCCGTCTATTCTGAAGGCTGCTTCTAATTGGGCTCTGTGGCACGGCTACGGAGTCACGTAACTAACTCAATTTAAATGGCCATAATTTGACTTGATTTCCTGCCTACTGGCGTGTTTTCAAGCCGCGATTTGACTAACATTGTAGGTCAAGACGAAGGCAAATTACTAACTCAGTTACAAGTTCATACTTCTATACTGTTTCTAACCACCTACATTTGTGTGACTTGCGATGTCGGTGATCTCTACTGCGTACTGCCATAATAAATTTGTCGAACGGTTGACTTTCAGTACGGATGTCTTGTTTCAACAGCCCAATGTTTTTTCCTTTATTACTTAGCAGCTGTCGTTGATGGCTAAACACTCGAGACAGGCACAGTCAGACAGATAATCGAATAGAAAGCACCCGAAACATGGTAATATTATAATTTGCAGTTAACGTCCGAAAACTACAGTATAACGGAGGCCATTGTTGACAGCTACGAATATTTCGACCAGCGGGGGATTATTAACGTGCCACTAAATTTCAGTTTACTGGCCTTTAGCAGATTGTCTCAAGCTATATGCGTTCACCGCGGTCGATTTCAGAATCCCGCCACCTACGGGTCACCTTAACTAATACGGAGCCGGTAGATCGCTTAGATTCTGATCGTAACAAAAATGTTTTTTAACACGTAGTTTTCATATTGCATTGATAATGTTATAGTTTTTTTCGCCAATGTCTATCCTGTTGAAATGTGCTCAATACTGACTGGTCTCGTGCCGTCGTGCGTAGGTGGTGTTGGTGGTCTCCGACCGTGGTGACAACAGGCTCATTGCGGACGTCTTGAGTGCGCAAGCGCGCGACCATAACGTCACGGTGCAGCACACGTACTACGTGCCGAACGACTACAGAGACGACGCCAATGGAACGATACGACGCATTATCCGCGATTCCCACACCGCCACAAGAGGTGAGCGTGACTTCAATTCTGGATGTTTGAAAATTTCCGTTCGTACTTACGTAAAGCGAGCATGCACGCATCATCAGTATCTTTATATTCATTTCTTCTTGGGCTGCATAACCTTGTAGTGTGGTCGCTCTTGAAATTTTATAAAATATAAGACTTGCTGTTTAGTGAGGCTCTTCTAACTCACTTCTAGTTCTTGTTAGGAGGTGAAACTGACAGCTTTACCTTCCGGACTTTCGAATGTGTGAATATTTTTCTATACTCTTGCACATTTTAGTTGGTTTTACAAAAGCTATTAAAATTGAAAAAAAAAGATTGCAAACATGTTTGGATATTCCTGCTGAAAATGTTTCGTTCAAAACACGTTGAAAAATCAATTCGAAGAAGTAAAAAGGAAAACGCAGGAAAAACAGTCCGGCAAAGATAGAATGTAACGAGCAGGTAAATTAGAGGCGCGGCGGTTTGGACTAGTTGGTATGACATGACGATTGTTACAGCGAGAGTATATGCATGATAGATAGCGGATATTAGAGACTATACAGCAACTTAGAGACTACAACAACTTGAGATATTTTTTTTGCAAGCCCCAATCAAGTTTCACGAATGTTTAGAAATTCTGTGAAAAGCATCTTGCCCATTACATAAACATTATTTGCAACAATTGTTAGGAAAAAATACGCGCACGCGCATAACGTCTCGACGTGCATGGTGGCCACTCTGCACGGCTCAAGTATGCCTAACTCAATAGCAGGCACTACAGCTTCATCTATCTATCTATCTATCTATCTATCTATCTATCTATCTATCTATCTATCTATCTATCTATCTATCTATCTATCTATCTATCTATCTATCTATCTATCTATCTATCTATCTATCTATCTACCTATCTATCTATCTATCTATCTATCTATCTATCTATCTATCTATCTATCTATCTATCTATCTATCTATCTATCTATCTATCTATCTATCTAGCTGCTTACGTTGGGGTGCTCTCATGGTCATGCCCTTAACTTGGCGTGAACCAAAATTAGCAAGGAAGTGTAATATGGTTTGACGAATATGACGTACTAGTCAAGACAGGAATAATGTCACAATCCCGTCGCGTACGTTGTCAAACACTTCCCACCAGACAGTGGCACATACCCATGGACGGGCATGTGTCGCTGGCATACGGGTACGTGCCAAAGGAAGTTGTAGTATCTACCCATGAACGACGAGAACACACATGGGCTACTTTAACGCATGTGCGCTAGGGAATACCCGACGTCGGTAGCGTCGACTAAATGTATGCACAGAATAAATATCAGTGTTATGAAAAACCTGACATAGGCAGTGTTGCTGTGAGTTATGTACAGTTGCGCCCTGATGATGGTTTAAAAGTCCATTTGTTTGTCAGTTTGCAAGTATGCCTATCTTTCCGTCTGCATGTCTGTCTGTTTTCCCGTCTCTTCGTCTGTCTGTCCGTCTACACGTGGGTCCATCTGTCCACCCGTCCATCCGTCCATCCGTTCGTCCGTCTGTCTGTCTGTCTGTCTGTATGTCTACAACGGGCACGGACAGACAGACGGGGTGGCTACGACAACTGAGGGGGATTTAGCCACAACGTAAGTGCACGAGGCCCACTGTGACGCCATGTTGTCAGAGCACCTGGATACTGAAAAGGCGCGAAGCGCTTACATTTCAGTCCAATACATGCCACCTCGCGGCCATTTAAATCCAACCGTTCCATTTCGAACGGTCTCTTCGACCGTTCCTTCACCTCCGTCCGGAAAACGGACAAAAACAGACAGGTGACATCTTGGCTCACGTGACATAGAACGCTACGGCATCAGTCATGGCTCAAATATGCCAATCGGGTGCCACTTGATGCAATCGAACACCTCCGTCTGAATTGGGCTCACGTTACATACAAGGTCACGGCATTCCCCATGGCTCAGATGGGCCAATCACGAGCGTCTCGACGGAAAGGATCGCCTCCGTCCGGATTTCGAATGTGTATAAAATTGCACCACAGCTCTGGTGAAATAGATGGCGTCATAGATAACTGGGTTGAAGAGGAATTAGTGATGTATATGTTCTAAGCGTAGGCAGCGGTTAGCCTTACTAGCAGCTTACAGCTTTTCAATGAATACAGTTGCTTGACAATTCAAAAGAATAACCAACCAGTCATCATTGCATGCACTGACTATTTCACCAAAATGACATAGCTTAGCAAAACATAGGGATAACGGTTAACGCTAATAGTTGAAGCATTCATAAACCACTATGAAAACAAGCGAACAAAGCATTATAGCACACAAAATGTTTTTTGGCACATTGGCCAGCGCAGAAGCGGCGTTGGCCAGTTGTGACACTGACCAGCAACTCCTCTGAACTGGCTTTTTGTGGATCGGTTGACGTTCATGTCACCTTAGCTACTCATTTTCAGTTAATTTCCGAGAGAAAAATATATTACCCAAAATGAAGTGAAAGTAAATAAACATAAAAACTTAAAAAAAGGAAAACATAATATTTAACGGGCAGTTTATTGGCTAGATTTTTTTGTGGTATAACGTTCACGCGCACATAATTCACGTGCAGCTGCAGTGTACGGACTACCAAAATCGTTTTGTTCATAGTAACGGATATCTGTTCACTACAAGCGCTCCTATATTGCACGGTCCACTAAGAACTTTTCTAGTAATATAGACGCCTGTATAGATGAAAAGGCACTGAAGCGCACGGTCCGAGTAATTTCTGCTGTGTGTGACGGCGTATGTCCAAGCTTGCTAGTTCTTAGTATAAGTTTTCTTTATCTTGCATTTGCATACTTTGCGCACTGTAGAATAATGTACTTAACATTATCATCATGATGACCGCAGGGGCTTTTTGGTTAGTTGTATCGGTGTATCAGTTGTAGAAAGCTGTTGTAGTATATTTTAGGTGTGTGAATTAAGGTCTGTGTGTATCGTGGGAGATCATCCGCGATAGAGAATCAATTTTTTTTCAATGCAATTCATGGAGAATGGTCGCTTTGGTTTAGTGCCATGAAACCAGCTCGTTTCAAGAACATTTCAACTTATTTGTGGTTCAGCTAAAACACATTTCGACTCTCCATTCATCGTCTGCAGTGTACGTGCTTTTAGCGGAGACTGGTGTCCTCGTGGATTTTGTGCGCCTCATGCATCAGGTGGGACTGCTGGAGGGCGGAGAATACGTGATCGTCTCTGTTGAGGAGGAGGATACGTACGACCGGAGAAACAAGTACCAGTACATGAAAAAAGGTGAGCCTATAGGAAGTGCGAGTCTTACCTTCAGGCCTTTCTTCTTCTGAAATTGCCATTTGTAGACTGCTTTTATTTAACTCGTATACACATAGTAACGGTAGGGGAGTACGCGCAAAACCACAATATTAGACAGTTACAATTAGACGTCTGCAGAGGCTCTGCAGACGGAAGCTGCCAGCCATGGCGCACTGCGTCGTTGTTGGAGGTGTCCGAGGCACTCAACTAAAACTGCATGTTATTATCAGGGACCTTCCATTGGAGGGCCGTTACGATTTCGATCATATAGTGGTCTTTCACTTGCACCTTAAGACAACACACCCCTCTGGCATTTCGCCTCCAACGAAACTCTGCTGTCATGACCGGGATTCATATCCGCGTCCAGTCTGTCAGCAGTGAAGTGCCGTGTAAAAACTACACAACTGCAGAGGCCTATCAAATTAGTGTTGGTCACGTTGACAATACATCTCCTGCAATCCTTGGGCCGAATTCACAAAGCTTTCTCTTTGGCTACGCATTTTCTTGGCCAAAAGTTCTCTTATCTGGAGGGATTACTATAGCGCGGGTATGAATTTAACTTATTCGGCACTTAAGAGGGCAAGGAGGACACACGATAGCTGATGAAACGACAAGAAAAGAAAGAAGTGTGTGCCGATAATATCAAGGTAGCACGCAAAGCGTCTAGCATCGAGAGTATACGATGACAGCCAATGATTTGCTGCATCTAAGTTTCAGTTCCGCGAGCGTCTGCTACAGCGCTTACGGGATGCCGCGTACGTTGTAATAGGCGTTTTGGCGGGCTGTGCAAAGCCAAGCACTCGCCTTTCATCAACGACTGTAGCTAGAAACGAAATTGCTCGATGGCCTTAAGTCATCGAGCAATCCATGCACTATCTCGCCAAGTACAAGTAAACAACACTCCAGGTGTACCACATAAATGAAACCACACATAAATCGATGCATGCAATGTTTGAAAATGTGCCTCGAATGTCTTCCCCTACTTAACGCGACCAGTTACCTTACATTTCATTGAAGCTGCGCTGCTACTTAACTAATTCGGTGCAATCTCGCACGGTATAGTGGGGAACGTAAGGGTGTTTTGTACCTATAGTCAAAGGTAGCCTTTGTTACAATATTCTTATTACAAGACACATGAGCGACTTTGGTGCCTGCAGACGAATTGTGCGGAAATAGATAACAGCAGTAATCAAATCAAATTGTGAGCGCAATTTCGCTGGTTCCATGCACCGCAGCATTTTTATAAAGCCGGAATGCGAGAACGTGCATACGCTTACGCTTAGGTATATGTCTACGTAAAATGAGGGAGACTCGTCGGGAGGTGTCTCAGTCCTAATGCTTTTCACAAAACACGGTGCAAATATTTCGCCCAGCGTTGTTTGAGTGCGCAAAGCAAGGGACGTGTATACGAGTCTTGAGGTCGAGAGACGTTATCACACGTGCGAAAAGGATGAAAAGAGAGAGAGAGACTCTCGTTTCGGCTTCGCGAAAGCTCGAAATTGATAGATAATAAAGACAATTTTTTGGCCCAGCAGACGTCAGGGAAAGTCTCCGCAAAACAGGGTCATATGCTCGGAGAGCATAAAAAAGTGGAGTACGCGTTATATGAGAGTGACAGCCACTCAGAAAGCGAGATGAAGTGTGACTGTCCTTAGGTGTGAGAATCAATGCTAATTAAGAGAGTTGAGTTAATGAGCCAAAACTTTCCTAAATAACGATAATGTAAGCAAACTGAGCATTCATCTAGTGAAAGTGACACTAGTGACAGTGAACTCATAATAGTTAATTAGCGTTGTCACAGGCCGATATATATTTTTATTTTCTTATCTATATTTGGAAAACTATGAGAAGGTAGCGTACGTTAGAGCCGGCTATCCCAACGTCATGACAGTAACGTACAAGAATAAATAGCGCACGGTTATACAATCACACGTGGCGGTTTCTATCTTCTAGTAACCTTGGAAAAACGCATTCTATCAATTTTTTCTATTTTTGACAAAGTTTCACGGGACGTTTTTGCATTTGGCTTCATTCGAAGGAATGACGATATATCAGCAATAAGGCGAACACAATCACTGCTGCAGTGGACTAGCGGTTACAGCGCTCAACTACAATCTCGGAGGTACTTGGTTCGATTCGCAGAATCACTGAGCACTTTTTTTTTCAAGAGGTTGCCCGGCCTGACATTATGCGTGGTGGCGGGTACTAAGTTTTTGAGAAGTAGGCTTTCGCACTTGCTTCTTTCACTCCCCTTTTGACCCAAAAGCGCTGTACTGTTCTCCTTCAAAAATTAAACAATTCAGGGTTCATAATTTTCTCCTCCATCCTTTCTTATCGCAAAAGTGTCCAGTGCTGAAATACCAGTATCATACCTAGTATATTACTTTTCACGTGTTCGGATATTCGACCAGCAATCAGTCTTCAAGGTGTTTTGAAGAAAATCTACACATGCAGTGAGCTAACTGCTTGCAGCCAAGTTGACTGCCTTTGTAGGGACACGCTTTTGTGCTTATTTGGTGGGCATCAACACATGCAGCAAGACCAAAGAGCACGGACAGTTAGAGCTGATGCAAACAGAGTGATTAGTTTGTGTCTTCTCTCCCGGTATTTGTCATGCTGCACGCTTCAGTGTAATGTCGCTGTCAATGGTAAAATGAACTATAGCAGTCAATCGAGTTCTGCTGAGAGGGTCCCGTATTGTCCAGAATGGAACAGAACAATGGCAATTTGATTTGTGTGATAAAGAGATACCCTGCTTTTGGATACTAGAATAAATTTCTAAAATGAAGTTTATTTTTTATTAACAACAGTTCTAGTGCAGATGAAAGGTGCATGGACAAAAATCGTGTATTCAGCTTGACTAGGTTTGTGACCTTAATTGTAATTGCGAACCGGTATCACAGTATGCATAAATATCACACACATATACAACCACGGGTGATATCTTGCTTATTCTGATTAAAATTGAAAGGTTGAAATTGACATAGTCAACCAACGCATTGTGTACGAGATATGCCATGTAGAGTAGCTATGCTCGAAACTAATCTTCGCAGGTTCGTTCCATTTTACCCAATTCCTTGCCCATGACTGTAGGTTGGTACATGAAACTTCTTCGAACACACATATTCTGTGTAAGGTTACATTTATTTTTATGCAGTACAAAACAAATTGAAATGTATAATGGCTCAAAAGAGAAATAACTAGAAACAAATTCAGTCAAATCATTACCAAACTTACTCACCAATGATAAACTGATTCTCATTTAAAAGATACATGCATACATACATCCATCCATACATACATACATACATACATACATACATACATACATACATACATACATACATACATACATACATACATACATACATACATACATACATACATACATACATACATACATACATACATACATACATACATACATACATACATACATACATACATACATACATACATACATACATACATACATACATACATACATACATACATACATACATACATACATACATACATATACGCACACACACATATACATATGTACACCCATACATACATACATACACTCAGGTGTAAATATTAAAATGAATGGCTATAAAACAACAATTCTAATACACTCATTTTGAATATACTACAGAAAGTAACTTACGAGAGATATCCACCGGCACTGTTATGTCTGAACACGGTGTTTCTCGAATTATCTCGCAAAAGCTTGATGCATAATTTTCTGCTGCTGCCCAGTGACAAGCAGTTTTTATAAAAACACAAGAATAAAGCCCTTGACAATGTCATGCTAAAGAAAAGGGCTGTGCATCAATATTTTGTACATGTCTGCAATATCACTCTGTTTATTTACATAGCTTGGCTCATTCACAACCCACTAACAAAGCATGTTAGGACACTTGGGCTGAAAGTTGGCACTGCACGAGTAAATTCTAGACAAAACATGAATAATACAATTATAAGCTACTAAGCTCCTTGGTGCAAACAGTATTTATATTGACAGCTATAGGTGCCATTTCGTTTCCCCAAAACACTTCTCAAAAGTAGAATCAACTTTATTTAGCTAAAAGTTTCTATTCTGGCGCGTCGTGGTGGCTCAACGGTGGAAGCGACTCTTTCGGCCAAGAAAACAAAGACCAAATATTTTTCCAGTTCGTGAATTCACCCCATGCTAACATTGAGGCAGCTGGTAAGAGTGCTTTTGGAGAGAGGAAACCACCACATTCCCACCAGTTGTGGCCTTGGGTAGCTACTTCACTTGGACAAAAATGATGAAAAACACTCCTCAAGAAGACTTCAAAGTTTGCACATCAACACAGTTCCCATACAGCTGTCTATTAGTCTGCTTGAAAAATATTGAGTTTACTGGTGGGCAAAGACTGTACGCTATGTGAGGTGATGCTCCTGTGCACTGCATGTATGTCTTGCTGCCGGCCTCAACTGCGATGTTGCTCAGCACATATGTGTAAAATAACAACTAATACTATGCCACTGCAAAGTAATTATGTGTCATTTGCATGAAACAGGGACCACAATAAAAGAACATCACAACATTTGCCTTCACAAAGTTCAAAAAATGTAAATAAACTTCCACAGAGTTTTCACAGTTCATCTGAGGATAGTAATATTGATTGTAAACACATTCTTACTTCCACTAACAAACTATTTTAAGATGCCAGATTCAATATTAGAGTATACCAGCACTTTTGTAGAGCTAAACAATTGTACAGGCACCTAGAAAAACACAAGTGAATCTATTGTATAGCTACATATAAATATAAGTACTTTTATTTCTAGTCTGAATAGAGCTGCATAGATGATAGGTCACTTGCATTACATTATGAACAAACCTATCCGAGCAAAGTATACATTTAAAAAGTTACACTTACACAGTAGATAAGTAGACTGTTGAAGGACGGACAGGCAGTGGGATAATACCCAAGCACTAAAATCTTCTGTTAAGATATACTAGAAGT